CTAAGCTTCGTTCTTTTGAATAGGATTTCGAATCATAGACTTACATGCACTTCTCCTATACCAGGCACTACTTCAAGGGTTTTATAAATATTAGTATTATAGTGATAAGTCTGTCTCTTCTGTATTTTCTGTCTTTGTCTCCTGCTGCTGCAGATGTACTTGAGTTTGTCTTTCTCTTGAAGTATCATGGAGCGTAAATGCCATTATTTTATAGTCTGTTAATGCTGATTCCCTCATGTCAAGGCTGTTGCTCCTGCTGGTCCTTCCTTACTGTCTTTTCTCCTTGTGTGCCTGCTCCTTGTTTTGCAGTACATTCATAATTATGTTTGCAAAATCATTTGCAGGGATAATTTGAGGCCGCAGGTCACTGGAGAAGAGTTGAGCTTTTTGTGTTGGGTGCCTGTGGACCCTCTGGGTTTTGAGCAGCAGTCTCTATTTATCCATGCTGGGGAGGGTTGGTCCCGTAGTCCACTGTTGACTATGAACTGAGGTCTCCACTCTGTTCACTCCGTAGCCCGCTGTAGTCTGGTTCCGTGACCCCACGTTCCCCTCTGTCTGCTGTGGGACAGCTTGGTTGCCAAATGCCAAGTCTCTTCCTCCTCATCTCACTGACCCCCCCCATCATATTTGGCACTGTTAAGTGCTATCTCCTTCACCGAAGCTCTTCCCTTCCTTGCTCACCTGGTTAGTTTTTCTACTTCTCTAGCAATTCTTTCATGCCCTTTGGGCGCCCCGTCCTCTGCCTGGCTGCTTCTTAAATCACTGTCCCTGGGGGCCTGACTCCACTCTCCCCTTCTCTGACTGCATTTCTTCTGTTCCAAATCCAGGCCTCAGCTCCCACCTGCTCACTCACCACCTCTCCCGGCCCCAGATTAAGTGTCCGGCTGCTGCCTGCTTGGCTGTTCCAGAAGCATGTCACATCTGAGGCGACTATCCTTTCCTTATCCTTTGGTGGGCCTTTCATCAGAGGACAGCATGCCCATCCATCCACTCCAAACACCTGTGGGGGCTGTAGCCCCCCTCTTTGTGCCCAGGGCTGCGTTGTGTCGTGTTCACCTGTCAGTCCTACCCAGTCTACCCAGTGTTGCTGGGCTGTCTGCTCTGGAGAGGCTTCAGCACCACCTCACTGCTGTTCTGGTCAGTGTGTACTTCACAAGTGCCCGGTGAGTCTGAGCACCTGCCGGGCTTGGCGGGCCCCCTTCTGGTCCTTCTTTGCCTCTCCATCTCTGCTGTGACTGTCCGTCCCCACCTCCTCCCACTTCCCGCACCACCCCCAGACTGCCATTGTTCGCTAGCTGGCCTTTCTGTCCTCATCCTTCTAACTCATCCTTCACATTGCTAGTTAGAGGCCTTGTTCCTAAAATGTAAATAGGGCCGTGTCATTTTCCAGCTTAAAATCCTTTAGTGATTCTTCATCATTTTCAGGATAAAATAAAACTCCTGAGTTTGGCATAGAAAGTCTTTATTCCACCCTTGCTACCTGCTCCATGCCTTCATCCATAGACTCTCTGTGCACCTGTCATTTTGAACTATTTATATTCCCTCTTCTCTCCGGACCTTTGAACAAGACGTTCCCCCTTGCTGAGATTCTCTTTTCTATTTTCTTCCTGGCTAGCTTATCCTTTACATGTAATCATTATTACCTTCTCTGGGTAGGCTTCTCTGGAAGGCCTGGGTCAGACACAGAGGGAGTGGGAGAGGAAGAGAAGGAAGGGAAATGAATCAGTGAAGATGATTTGGGTTGTTTTCCCTCTCATCCTCAGTATTGTGACTTCACAAGGCTTTGTGTCCCCCCCCTTCTATCTCCCTTTGTCTTGGTCTTGATGGGCTTCTAGCCAGCAAAGAGAAGAGAATAAAGTGTGGACACATCACTCAGAAATGTTTGAGCAATGAATGGATTTAGGTTCTCATGGTAAAATGGAAGATTGGCATCTCGCCTTATCCGCAAACAGCTCAAGTGCTGTGTTTAAAGATATGGCACAGTGGTACAAAGCACTAAATCCCAGGGTCAGTGCATTATCTCCTTCTTAAAATATGTAGTAATAAATGAAACAGTCTGGTAGAGTCAAGGTCATTGCTAAAGACAGAAATTGAGGCTTCTTACACGTGTGCCACAGGATCTGGACTTCCTATTCGGGGCTCACTCTAAAGGGAACATGGACAGAAGCAAGAAACGAATCACAGCTAAAAATAGTAAGGGACAAGAGTATGTCCTAAAGAAGTGATGAGGTTTTGGAATAGCAACCTATAAAATCATTATCTAGAGACAAATTCTGGAGCATCTAAAGTGAGGGGTATTCTTAAGACCTTAAAGATCCTTAAACAGCTGGGGTAAGTGAAATGGAGCCCGGATGCATAAGGAGCTCTTATTCAAAAGAATGAATTCGATCACAGTCTTACACCAGACAAAAATTAACTCAAGTGGTTTAAAGACCTGAAACCATAAAATTCCTAGAAGAAAACACAGGCAGTGAGCTCCTTGACATCAGTCTTAGCAATGTGTTTTTTGGACCTGATTCCAAAGGCAAGGGAAACAAAAGCAAAAATAACAGACAGGACTACAACAAGCTGAAAAGCTTCTGCACAGTGAGGGAAACCATCAACAAAGTAAAAAGGAGGCAACCTATTGAATTGGAGAAGATATCTGCAAATGACTTATCCCATAAGGGGTTAAATATCCAAAATATATACAGAACTCCCACAACTCAACAACAAAAAACCCTGAACAACCCAAATTAAAAAATGGCCAGAGGACCTGAATAGACATTTTTCCAAAGAAGATAGGCAGATGGCCAATAAGCATATGAAAAGACATTACACATCAGTAATTATCAGGGAAATGCAAATCAAAACCACAATTCGATGTCACCTCACACCTGTTAGAATTGCAATTACCAGAAAGATCAGAAATAACAGGTATTGCAAGGCTGTGGGGGAAAGGGAGCCCTCATACACTTGATAGGAATAGAAGTTGGTGCAGCCACTATGGAAAACAATATGGCGATTCCTCACAAAAGTACCAATAGAACTAACTGTATGATCCAGCAATTCCACTTCTGGGTATTTATCTGAATACAAAAACACTACTTTGAAAAGACATAGGCACCCCTGTGTTTATCACAGCATAAGTTACAATAGCCAAGATCTAGAAACAACCTAAGTGGCCATTGATGGATGAATGGGCAAAGAATGTAAGGCATATATATACACACACGACAGAATGTTACTCAGAGTAGCCACAAAAAAAGTAGGAAATCTTGCCATTTGCAACAACATGGATGTCTCTCAAGGGTTTCATACCAAGTGAAATAAGTCAGATGAAGAAAGACAAATACCGTATGATCTCACCTATATGGAGAATCTAAAAAACTTAAGACAAATCAACAAACAAAACAAAAACAAACTCATGGATACAGAGAACAGATTAGCGGTTACCAGAGGGGGGAGGGAGAAGGGGGAGGGCAGAATGGGTGGATGGGCTTATTTGCACGGTGACGGACAGTAACTAGGCTTACAGTGGTGATCACTTTGTGGTGTATACAAATACCAAATTATAATGTTATATACCAATTTTATGTCAATAAAAACAAAACATGTAAATTTAGGCTGAAATGAAACATGAGCTCGCAAAGGGTTTAAACAAAACACTATAACTTTTATAAAAGATAAAAGGTTTATAAAAATAATGAAAATCATAAAGTGTTAGGGAAGTGGGTATGTTTTAGAGTGTGCCCTTAATGTCTGGTGTTGACCTCAGGTAGAGCAGTCCCATTTTTTTTTTTTAAGATTTTATTTATTTGAGATAGAGCGAGAGTGAGAGAGAGAGCAAAAGCACGGGGAGTGGGAGAGGGAGAAGCGGGCTCCTCGCCGAGCAGGGAGCCCGATGCGGGGCTCGATCCCAGGACCCTGGGATCATGACCTGAGCTGAAGGCAGACGCTTCACTGACGGAGCCACCCAGCCGCCCCAGGGCAGTCCCATTTTCCTCCAGAGTTTCTCCAGCTCTGCTTGACAGAATTTAGGACTGTGTAGACCATGGGTTCTCATTCATGCAGGCATTTCTATTGCACGTGTTGGGGGAGCTCTCCTCTCCAGCTCTTCATACTGGGAATGTGGGGCTGGAAGCCTATGTGAATAACTATGGAAACACTCCCAATTGTGACTGAGGACCTTTTAAATTGAGGTTGCCAGCTCGCTCTTACAAGGAGCAGGTAGGAGCCATAGGGAGCTTTCTATATTCATGGAACGTCAAAAAGAAACGAAATTGAGCATGTAAGCACCATCAGGAGCTTTCCATAATCATGGTGCCTCAGAAAGAAATGGAATCCTGGAACTCCAGTTGAGTAAATTAAAAACTAACCTTTTGCCACTGCTGAGTGATTACCACAAATCCAGATCTTTCTCTGAAGCAAGACACTGATGATTGGACGTACCTTGGGGTTGTGGAGAAAGCTGTTAGGCTGTGGTGTTTTCTAGCTTTTAATATTTAATTGAGCTGCTTAATTTCAGAATATGAATATCAGGGGTGTCTGGGTGGCTCAGTGGGTTGAGCGCCCAACTCTTGATTTCGGCTCAGGTCATGATCTCAGGGTCGTGAGATCGAGCCCTGTTTTGGGCTCTGTGCTGAGCATGGAACCTGCTTGGGATTCTCTCCATCTCTCCCTGCCCCTCCCCCTCCCCCTGAAATAAATAAATAAATAAATAAATAAATAAATAAATAAATAAATCTTTTTAAGAAAAGAATATGCATAACAGTTGTTGCTTTTGAATAGGCTTGGTTCAATATTGGTGTATTTGTTGATTTTAAAATGGGATAGACTGAAAAGTATGATACTAACTTGTTGCTGTAGTTCTGCTCTCCAGGAAATTGTGAACTGAGCTATAAGTGAACAAGTTACTGAACTAAGCATTATGAATTTTACAACCCAAATATTTAAGGTAATTATATAGAAACATGATTTTAAAACATTCTCATTTTGTTTTGTCTCCTTTTTTTTAAAAGCACTGCCAGTGAAAGATACAAAAGAAAAACCTGAACAACAGATCAGAACAAAAGAGACTGACAAGTTACCTAGCAGTACTGAACCTCGACAGCAACAAAGTGCCTTATTTGCTAGAGGAAATAGGAAAGCAGTCAAAAGTCCTCAAAGATCATCAAGTAAAATAAAAGAGAACAAGCATCCGTTTGCCCTTTATGGGTGGGGAGAAAAACAGACGGATACGGGAAGCCAAAAAACTCACAACGTCTGTGCTTCTGCTCCGGTGCATGAGGTGGGTTCATGTGCACCAGCTTCTCTGCCTGGTTGGAGGGAGGATGGGAGTTGGGCTCTGCTCCTGTGGAACCTGTCCTGTGTTCGCTGCGATGCTTGGGGGTCATGGTAGGTCTTAGGGGATGGCGGGGGACGGGGGGGTGGCAAGGAAAGCCCAGACCTGGGCATCTGATTGGCAAACAGGAGTCTGGGTGTTAGCTTCCCGGAGATCGAGGGGTTTTGCTGGGAGTTAGCTGGTATCTGGAAGGTTTACCAATATGGAGCCAGGTGAAGAAGTGGCTGGAATCAGGGTTTTCAGGTTGCTGGGAGGCCGGTGGGTCAGAGGAGGAGGAGGACAACCAGGGCTTGTGGCAGCCCATCTAGATTTGCCACGGGGCTCTGGAGAGGTTTCCAGTTCCTTTGGTTTTGATAACGGGTATTCCTTGACTCCTTTGTTTTCTTTTGTTAGATGGCTTCTCCTGTAGTTCTTGGCATCTACTGTAGACTCCCTTTTGCTCTTTGCATTAAATATGGATGCTTGTGTTTTCCCCTGCTCATCCATATCCGGTGCCTTTTGCTCCTTGGAGCCTTGGTTGTCCTCTTACTTGGTCCTGAGAACGTGTCTGACAAGAGGTCTTCATGTGTGGAGGCCCAAAGCAGTTATGTATGTTAGTGTTAATGCAGCTGCTATAGCCTAAAACAAAGAACGAATGAAAAGAAGCAGAAAGTACGGTTTGAATTCTGATGAAATGCCATAATCAGATTTTTACTGAACAGACTTCTGAACGACCCCTAGCAGATGGTGTTTTTTGGAGTGATATTTGAGACAATGAAGCTGTCGTTTAACAAAAGACTCTGGCAATTCCGTGGGATTAAGTTTAAGAGAGTTTGTAGTACGAAACGTTTTAAGTGGTAAAAATCCCTTCAGACTTTGTTTTTTGTTTTGTTTAGTATACTGTGGTAGAACATTTAAAGTCCTTTAATGGAATACTTATCCAGGTTGATGCTAAGCTTTTTCAATAATTTTCCAGAGCCTATTTCTAGAGGCACATTGCAGATTGGTTGCTTATCATTTCTATCTACAATTCAGTGCAGTGGATATTTTTGGTGGTTCAGTGTCTTGGTCACTGACGGTGGGCAAGGGGATGGCTTTTGGGGAGAAGCAAACCAACGGGGCCAGGCTTGCCTCTGCCCTGCTTCAGGTGACCTGCGCGTGGCTTCATTGCAGACATTCTTGGAAACTGTTACAAAAGCCACGGAACTTACTATGCATTTATTTTGGAAATAATAATTTTTTATTTTTGAATAACTTAGATTCATGAATCAGCATTACGAGCCAAGAACAGAAGGCAGGTGGAAAAAAGGAAACTGATGGCTCAGAGGCAGCGTGCTCACTCCGTAGAGGTGGAGAAGAACAGAAGGATAAAGCCTTCCCCCTCCGAGAACCCGTGGATGACAGAATATATGAGATGCTACTCAGCACGAGCCTAAAGGCGGAAACGGTTGCTGGGACAGCCTCTTCGAAAAAGTGTAAATGAAAGAAAGAAGAAACAGAACAAAAGAAAAACCATCTAAAGACAACAGACACAGGTTTAAGAAACCAGTGGAGGACGCAAGGTTTTTCGTGGGGAATTTCCTAAAGACTGCTATTTCGATAGATCCTGGTCACCTACCTCAGCTGTAGGGCGACAGTTGAAGCCATAGACATTTGGTTATTTCTGAAGCTAATTCCCTATTTGATATTCTTATAAGGGTTTTGTTTTAAAGCATCTTAATCTTTTCAGACACCAACACCGAATGCCTTTAAATGGCTACAGATGCTTAACATTCAGTATTTTCATCAGATTAGCTGGAGCCTGTTTTCACCCTGTTCTCATCACTTTCCAGATTCCATAGCCCGTAAGGTCATTCCGACTTGCAGCTTTAGACCCATTTTCCTTTTGTGGAGTTTTCTTTGTGAAAGAATAGCTTGTCAACTGAGTTTTCAACACTAATATTGACTCCTTGTGTAGTGAAACCAGAACTTACTTGTGTTTCAGTTTCGGGACCACGTCACAGAGACTGTGATATTTAAGAATTGTCTGTGTTGGGGGAGGGTCCTCTTTTCTCTTTAGGATGTCACTGAGGCACTTATTATCTCATAGTTTAATAGATCGAATGCATTCCAATGAATGAAGTGCCAGTGCTGTGTCTTTAGTGTAGTATTGCAACTTTTTTTTTATTATTATTGCAACTTTTTTTTTCTTTAAACACATAACTGGGAATCAGTTCCTTGCCGCAGTGTGGCCTTTCGGCACATATGCACTGTGGGCTTTTGCCTTTTCTAGAATAGTTGGCAATGACATTTAGAACTTACAGTGTGAAATTTCATTTAATTATGTTGAGATTGTCTTGCTCACTGGGGACAGGGGGCAAATATTAAGGTACCAATTAGAGATGTGGCCTACCCCTCCTTTCTGTACTTTCTCCTCTACAGACTCATTCATAACAAAGCCTCAACTCCGTACATTATTCAGACTTCTGGCCGAAACGCGTTACTCCTAGCCAGTAGATGTTACAGAGAACTTACAGTGGGAGAATAGTAGTGTGTCGAGGCACAGTTGTGAGTGTGTAAGCCAAGTGCTCCTTCCCTGGTACATTTGCTCTTGGGGTAGAAAAATGGTTTTGAGAACACTGGTTTCTATCCAGCAGAGACAGGAATCTACAGGAAGGATGAGTCCTAAATTCTCTATAAGAGAGGAAAGAGGTCTTTGCCTAGGCCAGGTTGTCACCTGGAGATGGGCGAATAAAATTTGCCATTAGATGTGAGGTTGAACATTTCCTTGATATTTTTACTCTGTATCTTTGAAGTATTATGGTCAATTTTTACTTTTTTTTTTTTTAAGTAGGCTCCACCCCCAACATGGGGCTTGAACTCATGACCCTCAGAGCAAGAGTCGCATGCTGTACTGACTGAGCCAGCCAGGTGCCCCTATTGTCAATTTTTAGAACACAAATATGTTTTATTCCACATAAAGTCTTCACACAGTGTCATCTTACAACTGTACTGAGCTTTGACAACTCACTTAAGAATCATGAGCTTTAAAAAAAAAACAAACTTTTTAAATATTTGCATTGTTTTGAAGTGAATTCTTTTACATGGAGAGCTCTCCTAATCATTGAGATGTATATTTAACAGGAAGTTCTATATGTTGGTCCAAACAACCTTGCTAATAATTCTGGTGAATGTTGCTGTAATTATTATTAAAGTCCTTAAACACTGCAGGTACCTAAAGATCCAATTAATGTGGCATTGTGATGGTGTAACTGATTGTAAAAACCGTTCCTTTCTAACCACTTCTTGCATGTTTGGTTTTAGCCATGAAGCTCAAGTGTTCCTGTTGCACCGGACAATCTTAGGGAAGCTAGCCTTGGAGTAGCTCAGGCCCCACGCTGACGGGCTGCCTTAGAAACCCAACTTCCTCAGGCTTTGACCAAGCCAGACTCTCTCCTTTAGAGAACAGACTCGTATTTAATGTGCTTACTACTGAAAAGTCCAGATAGAGATAAAACCTAGAAGGCAATATTGGCCAGTTGTCCCCCTTTTTAAGTAGAGGACAAATGAACAAGCTTTTTAAAGTACTTTTAATGTGCAATGAACAATGAATAAATTAATCTGAATTAATTGTGAGTGCCCATCCCATGCCCAAGTCATTAGTTGGTTAGGGTGTCTTTTCTTTTTAGGGGTGGAAATTACCCTTTGAGCCCATGATGTTTTTCAATGGTAACAATTTGATGCTCTTACTTTTTCCTTCTCACTCTAGAAACAAATGTATTTGTAACTATGTTCCTAAATCATGGGACAAGTTGGAAGACAGGAAGATAGTTTAAAATTACCTTTCGTGTTGAAAATTTGAAACTGTTTGAGGATCCAGGGACACTTAGAAAGATAGAACAAAATAATGGCTACAATAAGACTCTCTCTTTTAAATTTTGGTTTTAAAATTAAAACAAAACCGTTGGCCATAAACATGTTTTCTGTGTTACTTTTATCAAAAGCAGTAATAGAATATTGAATAACATCTAGCACTCTGCTGGGCCAAGGTGAATGAGAAGTAAATAGGAATCTATTCTTTCTTTTTCTTTTAAAACCTAAAAGGCTGCTCTTATTTAGGAGGTATCAAAATACTTTGGTACTTCTGGTTTTATACATACATATATATATGTACTCCTCCACCACCATGACATTTCTAAGCACACATACACATTTTTTAAAGTTTACTGAACATATAGTAGGGTGTAGGTTATCTTAATTGCTCATGATATAGTAGGCACATATTTATGGCACTTCATATGTAATAGCTTTGTCATTGTTTCATTAAATAGAAATTGCTAATAACTTGAAAGGTGTATATGCGAGGTCACTCCAACTCGGTCAGCTAAATTGCATGAAAGGTGTCTGAGTTGTTAGAACTCACTTTCCAGAACAGAATTCTGTGCTATTGGCAGGGTTTAAAAAAATCTGCAGTGATTCCCCTCCTTTTAACTCGAAATGCTGTACTGAGCATAAACTTTAAAAAGGGAATGTTATAGTATTTGGTATTTAAAATGTTTAAAAGCATTATTGGCAAAGAGGGAGAGAGGCAAAGCATATGTTGGAAGTGAAAACTTTTCTTGTTGACTGCTTCAGTAAAAAAAAATAGTTTCGTGGATATTTTTACCCTGGACTAGATTAAAAATGGTGCTAATGTTTATTTATCTTGATTCTGTATTTGTTTTGATATTAAAATGCTAATGCCTGACTCATAAGGTCCTTACTATAGTCTGGTGATAAGTTACTTAATATTTAAAAAGGGATCCTAAAAATGTGACCTGATCATTTCAAAATGTTTGCATTTGAAATGGATTTTTATACAACAGAATGAGTAGGGAGTCATTCGGTGTAAGTATATGCTTAATACCAAAGTATATGCAAGGAACTATGTCTAGATTATTGGCCCAGATTCGCTCCCTTCAAGCCTCCTAGTGTGAGATAGAAATAAGTTGCTTCTTAAATACTTATTTCCATTTTGGAAGGACACCTGCATGAAGACATTAGAAGCCTCTTTTTGGATTTCTTTTATAATTAGCAAAACTGTACTTAAGAACAGTCTCCCCATGTTGTTGTATGTTTGAGTACGGACTTCACTTTAACATTCTGAAGGAACAAAAGCTGGGCATCTGTAATCACAAAGCTCAGGCAATGAGAATTTTGGGTTGTATTTTCTAAGAACTATGTATTGCTTTTAGCTTATATTTAATATTGCAATTACTTGGAAAATGTGAATAAAGTTAAAATTGCAGGCTAAAATTTCTCTTTTGTGGGAAATAATTCTGACTAGTACATCAATGGTTGAAGAAAATGTACGATCATATTGACTCCTAAGTGGATTTTTCATCAGACAAATGTTTAACAAGATATACCCAGGAAAAATACTTTCTGTATATTCAACTTTGAGTTGAACTCTAAATTTTTCCTAGTCCTTTCCCTCACACCTTCCTATTTTGAAAATTACAAAAGCAATAGTGCATGGTTAAAATAATTAAAAAAGAAGTATGAAGTGAAGGTTCTTTCAGGACTGCCCCCTCACCAAAGTTCTGCACCCCTTCGTAGAGGAAGCCAGTGTTAAGTTGGAAACCTGCAGACCTTTTCTCTAAACACTTAGCTATGGAGTTACATGTATGTTTCTTGGGAGGTGTGCAAGTACATGATCATGCCCTACATGTTCTATAGCTTTTAATATCATAGGGAAGGTCTGTGTTCCAGGTTAAGTGGAGTTTGACACACACCTTCCTTTTGTTCTCACTGAACACAGCAATAAAACCTGGACAGAATGTATGGCACAACCATTGGAAGACTCAAAGAGGTAAATAGTACCAAGCAGGTGGGGGAGAAGCCCAGAATTCTGAGTACAACCGAAGTGGTGAGTTTCCCATTTTTGTATTCCTCTGGGATCTTCCAGCCAGAATGCAGCACAGCCCCAATTGCAGAAGTGAGCACAATGGTGCAGAGATCCTAGAGAAGCCAGGCTTGTGGAACAAAAACAGAAGTGCTAGAGCTCAGAAGGAGTGGGGGCGATGCCCTTTCTTTGCTCTCCTTTTCCATTTTTGATGCTAGAGCCCCAGCTAATCCCTTGGCTGCCAGTGGGAGCCTGCAGGAGCCAAGAGTGTGAGGGAAGGGAATTTCTTTTCCATTTGGTAGAGGCGTGGCCAAGGAAGTGGAGCCAAGGCTCAGTTACTGGAGTGGGCTGGAAGCGTTGGGCTAGAGGGCCCAGGAAGTACTGGAGAGAGAGTAGGGACTCCACAAAGTTATTTATGAGCTCTGCCTCACCCCTGACCTGCTCACCTGGTTCACACTGTTCACCCATGAAACTGATTCTAATTAGCATACCAAACATATTTGAGATCTCTGCTGATCCGTAGATCTCTCCCCAGGTCTCCCACTGATCATGAGATGGTGACAGATCCAAGTAGCATTGTAAAGGCTTTGAAAACTGAACTGATGTTAGAATCACCACTCACAGAACTTGTGGCCTGAACCTAACCAGACTGATTACTTGCTAAAACAAAGATATCAACATTCTCCATAGGATTTGCTGGCATCTCCTCATGTAACATTCAAAATGCATAGGATACGATCCCAAATTACCCAGCATATAAAAAGCCATGAAAATAACTC